AATAGAGGGGGGAAACGCAGGGAGGAAGGGGGCTTGATTGCGCCCTGGGTGAGGGAGGGCCGGACTTTGGCGGCGGCCGAAAAATGGCCACGAAGGCGTTGGCCGATGGCGGCCCGGAAACAGGGGGCATCTAATGGCCCGGGGGATGTCGGCTGTCGGCGTCCACTGCCCTTGGCCGTGGTCAAGCATGTGCGGGATCCAGCCAGGCAGGGGTCCCTGCCCGCCCTGGTGACCGGCGAACGAACAAACGCCCTCGATCGATCGTGTCGCCCCCCCCCCCCCCCCTGGCCCGTACCCCGGGAAAAAATGGCCGGCGCCCTCTTTGCAAGGCTTTCGGTAAGATTGGCTCCCGGGGCAGGCAAGGCTGGGGATAAAAAGCTGTCAAAAAGCGCTCATTTTTAAATGAAATGTGTTCTTCCGAGGCCCCTTTCCTTGCTGTCCCCCTGCGGCCCCTTGTGTGCAATCGACGTCGTGCGGCGCACGGCGCCTGTGTGTGTGTGTGTGTGGGGGGGGGGGGGGGTGGCTGGCTCGGAGGGCACCGAAAGCGGCAGAGGCGCGGGTCCGGGGGGGGGGGGAAAGAGGCAGGCATCAGCACGGCCATCGCCACGAACGACACCAAAATGCTCCCACAGTCTCGGACTGACTTCTTTCACAACACGGCGACGGGGATTCATTTTGAACTCTCACGAGCCCGCCGGCCTCCAACGTGATGGGCGTCCATCGGGGCACGTCCACGTGCACAGCCACACCATCCCGGTGTCACGCCGGGGGATGTTTTCATTTCGCTCGGCACATTCGGCCTGGCCATCCTTCCTTCCCCACTGGCCCTCGCCCCTGTGTACGCGCAGTGGTGGGCCCCCAGCCCCCGTGCCTGGGACTTGTCGCAGGGATTGCCCTCCAGAAGGGGGAGGGGGGGGGGGGGGCGGGGGAGCGGCAGCCATTTACATCGGGCATGTTGGCTTGCGGGGCATGCGGGGGGTTGGCCTGGCGCGGTGTGACGCTCCGGTGATGGCCTCGCACGGAGCAACACCCCCCCCCCCCCCCGGGCCGGGCCGGGCCGGGCCGGGCCGGGCTTCCCCTGCCGGACGTGCGGGCGGAGGGCGGCCCGGCTTGTGCCGAAGAGGTGCCAGCCCCCCTGCCCAGGGGACAGAGCCACCGCGTTACCCCTCTCCGGAACCTGCCACGTTCCCTCCCCTTCTTCCCCTCCTCCCCCTCTCTTTCTCGCTCCCTCACCATGGTATTTCCTTACTCCTTGTTCCCCCTCTCTGGCCCTCCCCTCTCTCTCCCCCCCCACTCGCCTCGCTTCCTTGTCTTCCTTTTTTTTTCCTCCGCCCCCTTCTCTCCCCTCTTCCCTCGCCCTCCGCTCGCCTCCCTGTTCCTTTTTCCTGTCACGCCTGCTCGCCCTCGAACTCACCACATGCCCCCGGCCGGCGCCTTCCCGCCCTGCCCGCGTGCCTGTGTGTCGGTATGTGCATACTCAACCCCCGGTAGTATGTCCTCCTGATCGGCGACCTGCACATCCCTCACCGCAGCCTCGACCTGCCGGCTCGCTTTAAGAGCCTCCTGGTGCGTGGCCCACACACATGCGCACACACGCACACACGTACCGGCGTATAGGTGCATGGGTGTATAGGTGTACCGATGCACACGCACACATACATGCGGGTGTTCCTCCTTTTACATCGGCCGGCCTGGTGGATTCTAATGTCTCGTCCCCCCCCCCCCCGCCCCTTTCCTCCTCCTTTTGTACTTCCCCTTCACCATCACCACATTCTCAGCTCCCCGGCAAGATCGACATGGTCCTGTGCACCGGCAACCTGAACACTCGCGAGAGTCTGGAGTACCTGCGTACCATCGCCAACGATGTGCACGTTGTGCGCGGTGATTTCGATGATCCTGTGCGTCGGCTCTCTGCAATGTTTGCTTCTCTCCTGCCCCCCCCCATCAAGCACTCTGACCATCTGCATCACAGACTCTCTCCCTGCCCGAGAGCAAGGTCATCCGTGTGGGTAAGTACAAGTTTGGCCTCTGCCACGGCCACCAGGTACGCCAAGCGGCCCACACCCACGCTTCCCCATCCCGGCGCCGGGTCTGTGCCTCTTCGTTCATCGCTCTCATCAACTCACCACTCCGCTCCCCCGCCTCCGCTCCCCCATCTCCGCTCCCCCTCACTCCCTTCCGACGCAGGTTATCCCCTGGGGCGATGCCAACGCTCTGGCGGCCCTGCAGCGCGAGCTCGACGTCGATGTTTTGGTGACCGGTCACACGCACGCCCTCTCCGTCGAGAAGACCGTCGACGGGAAGCTCCTGCTGAACCCCGGCACCGCCACCGGCGCTTTCTCCCCCTGCACCCTGAACAACCTGACCCCCTCGTTCATTCTTCTGAATGTCGAGGATGAGTCGATCGCCCTCTTCTCCTACACCCTGGGCGACGATGGTGTCCCCGTCATTGATCGCCAGAGCTTCCCCTAAAGGGAATCGACGGTCTTCTTCTCTGTCTTCCCCCCCTCTCTTTCCCTCCGTTCTTATCCCCTGTAGGCTGTGCCTCCGGGTCCGCCACCCTGTGCATGTCGCGCGGTGTTCGCTAGTCCTGTGCATGTACATGGCGTCCCCCCCCCCCCCTGCCCTTCTGCTATCCTCTTTCGCAGCATAGTCTTCACCCCTCTTCCCTGCAAAAAATACAAATCCCCTCTACACACACACACACACACACACACACACACACACACACACACACATCTTCGCGCCCACACCGCCCTATTCTATTTATACATGGCCATGTATGCACTTTCCCCCCGCCCGCTTGCAGCCCGATCATCGCCCCTTTCCCCCGTCCAGCCGGGCTCCCGGGCGACCGCAAGCCGGCCAGAGACAGCCGGGGGCGCTCTCGGCAAGGATGGCAGCTTCTTGCACCCCGGAAAAACGGCATTCTCGCCTCGATGATCGCGCCTCCATTGGCACCTCATGCGCCAACGGTTGCATCCGCAGGTGCCAGGGCCACACTGCCCGGGGGGGGGGGGGGGCCAGTTCCGCCCGAGACCCAGCCCCGCCGCACCGGCCCATTTCCGATCACTCGCCACCTGCCTACGGGCGCTTAAGCGCCCCTCCTCTCTCGTGTGAGATCCTTCTCCCCTCCCTCTCCTCTCCCCTCGCTCCCTTTCCCACCCCTTGCCCCTGCATCCCCCCTGCTCCATTTCCCGCCCCCTTCCCTATCCCCATCTCTCTCTCTCCCTCTCTCTGTCTCGCACCACCCCCTGCCCTCGCAGTCGAGAACAATGCTCTTTGCCCCGGAGCTCGCCCCCCTGGACCCGGCCACCTCGCCCTACGGCCTGGCCACGCCGGCACACCTGGCCCTCCTTCGAAAATTCGGTCTCGGCTTCCTCCCCACCGGGCAAATGGTCCATCCCCATCCGGATTCCATCCCTGCCTGGCTTTTGGAAGAGTGCCCAGGCCTGCGGGACCCGGTGGCTTTGTCGAAGTCCATGCCTAAGGTGGACTTGGAGGCCCTGGCCCCGGTGGCTGCCCCGGGCCCGGATGCCCCGCCATTGGCGAGCCTGACGCTGGAATTGGGCAGCCCCTTCACTTTCGATGTGTTCGGGGGCCGGCATGGCGAAAACCAAGCGCGCTACGAGCAGATCGGCGATGTGGTGGCCCTGCACGTGGAGTGGCTCCTGATGCTGCCGCCCTTCGGCCTGACCCTGGGCACGGTCCCCCTGCCGGGGAAGGTCCCGGTGTCGGCCTTTTTGGATGCCTCCCCTCGGGAACTGGAGCTCCTCCGGTCGCGCATCTACTTTTCCCCGAACTACGCCACCTGCGAGCGACTGGTGGTTCTCATCCAGGGAAAGGGGGCAGTGCGTCCGGGCCAGTGGGCTCGGAGCCTGATCATGAACGACAACATGGAGGCCGGTGCCATTTTCCCGTATTTGCGGGAAATCTTCGCGCGGGGTCTGGGCGTGATCGTTCTCAACCCCAACAACAACCATGTCGAGTTCCCCGGCGCCAAGCGCCTGGTATGTGTTGACTTTCGCCTTTGCGCCATCTGGCGATCCCCAGCTCACCTGAGACTCCACCCTGCTCCCTTCAACCCACTAGCCGATCCCCGGCAGCGAGAATGCCATCGCCCACACGCTCTATGTGTGGGAGAACTTCATCCGGTGCGCGCGCCCCCCCCCCCCTCCCTGTCCTTGCCCCTTGCTCCCCACATCCTGTCCTTCCCTGTCCTGGCTGTTTTTCGCCGGTAACTTCCTCTGACACACGCACACGCACCCCGTCTCCCTTGTATGCTACTCAGTCCCGCTGCCTGCTCGTCCATCGACTTTGTTGTGCATAGCTTTGGCGGTGTGTGCGCCGTGGAGCTTCTCGCCAAGATCGAGCACCGCCGTGACTTCAAGCGCATCAACCAGGTTCTGTTCACAGACTCCTTCCACGATGATGATGTCCTGCCCCGGTCCACCCGGGTGTGGCTTTCCAAGGTGCGTGAATATTCCTCCTCCTCCTCCTTCTCTCTCTCTCTCTCTCTCTCTCTCTCTCTCTCTCGCCACCTCTCCCCGCTGCGCCCATCCCCCACTCACACACAATGTAACCCCCACCGCACGACAGAACTCGGTCAACTTTGCCGCCTCTACTCTCCCGGCCGGGACCAAAATCGGCCGCCCCAGCGAAGGGGCACTCCAGGTGTCCGCCGGCCATCCCCGCCATGAGTACTCTTCCTGCAAGGCCATGTCCATGGTCATGGCCTGCCTCATGGACAAGGCCCAGTTCCGCCAGCAGTTCGAGCGGCGCTAGTTCCTTCTCCCCGCCTGATGGCAGGGGACTAGCCAGCGGGTCAAAGCCACTTTCTTCTCCCCGTGTTCCTCCCCATCCGGATGGAGGTGGGTGTATGAATAGTACTGCCTTTTCCATTCCCAAAACGAGTCTCCCCCCCCCCCCCCCTCCCCCACATACACACAAACACACACACACACACACACACACAGTGACCGGATGATGTCTCTTTCTTCGGTGCTGTCTCCTTGCGTCCTGCCTTCCGCGCCTTGGGGCCGGCCGATGGTGCGGGGCGCCGCCCCCGTCTGCGATCCCCCTGCCTGGGGCAGGGTCGTTGGCTGTGTGCTGGGAAATGCCATGTAGATCACGTGCCAGAAGGGAGTCATGGGCAGAGGCGCCACCGCCACGCCTGCGATCGGCCCGATCTGCGATCTGCTCGAAGGGCCCCCCGGCCTGGTGTGCCCGGGCGCCAGGAGGCACACTGCCCGGGGGTGGTGGCGATGAAGGTGGGGGGGGGGGGGGGGGGGGGGGGGGGGGGGGGGGGGGGGGGGGGGGGGGGGGGGGGGGGGGGGACGTAAAAAGATGACAAGCCCCAGGCGATCTTTCAGCATATTCCCAGCCCCTGGCCCCCCCCCCCTCTATTGCATGTCCTGCCTGACTCCCCTCTTCCTGCATTCTCACCAAACCACCGATCTTCAACTCGCTCTCCCTCCGTTTCGCCTGTTCGATGCCCCCGCGGACGAGACGCTCTGTGACGGCGGCGGCGACGGCGGCGGCGACGACGGCCGCGGCCGAACAGGGTTCCGATGCGTCATCCGCTCCCGCTGCCCCTGCCACCCCATCCACCACAGTGGTGGAGCTCCTCTCCGATCCAGCTTGGATGTCGGACAGTGAGTTCGGGGGTGGACATGCCTTCCACGCGGAAAAGGGCTTCAGCATCCTGGCTAGCCCCCAGCGTGCCCCCACCGGTCGAGTCCTGCGTCCCCGGCGGGCGAACCCCCCCACCGAGGTGATCAGTTTGCTGACCCCGCGGACTTCCCTGCCCCCTCGGCACCAGCAGCCCCCGCCTGGGCCGCCCCCACCGTGCGCATACCCTCGACCACTTGCTTGCTCGGCCTTCCATCGTGGGGATCCCCCTTGTCTCACGCGTGCCTCTGTTGGCTTTCTCTTCAGATCTACGGCGCTCCCCATGGCCGAGGCCAGCCACCTTGGCAGTGGCAGCGATGGGGATGACGACGAATTCGAGGACGTCGATGTCATATCGCCGGCGGCAGCCCCGGCCGAGCCGACCCTGTCGCAGCATCTTCGCGGGATCTTCGACGGGGCGCACCTCGATGATCTGGCCGCGGTCCTTGGGCATGTGTCGGCTCCGGATCCCCCTGTTGAGGCCAGGCCCGAGGATGGGCCCGCGACGCCGGTGGCCCCGGGTCCGGCTGCTCCGCGGCATGTTGCCATGCCCTTCTCGCTGCCGGGGCTTCTGACGCCGGTCCGGCCTCAAGCCGGGCTTGACCCCGCCGCGGCGGTGACCCCGCTTGTGTCGCAGCCCTCTGACGAGAGCCAGAGCCAGCTCTTTTCCCCGACTCCCGGGGGGAACATCCTTTTCCAGGGCTCTTCGCAAACTGAAATCACCCACCCGACCTGTGCGGACGAGGGCGCACAGCATGTTCGCCTTGTCGGTGCTCTGGTGTTTCTGACGCGTGGCATCCTCCGCACCAGGGCCGCTGGCGCTCTGCAGGTGTGTCTCCCCTCGGACGTTGGTGCCGCTTGCTTTTCGCCATCGGTCTGACGCCCATGCCCCCCCCCCCCCCCTGCCCCGGGACTCTTGCCGATGCACCGAGCAGACGCGAATGGCCCACCGGCTGTACCTCCTCTGTCGGGCGCAGCTCGGGCTCTCCTTGCCGGTGGTAGCCACCCGACTGGGGGCCCTGTCGGATGTCGAGGCTTTGTCGATGGAGTTGCCATGGCGCCGCGCGTCGCACTCGGGCGTCCCCGAGGCCCCCGGCATTGCCAGTCAGGTTGGGCCCTTGTTGTTTGTCTTCCATCGCTTGATGGAGTCCTTGCAGGCCTGTGCCTCATGGAAGACCTGGTCCTGCCCAGCATGTGCCCTGGATCCGAATCCCGCCAACAAACTCCTCGGCACCCCGGTGCCTGGGTCGCCGGCCGCGTCGCACGATGCCGCCCTCCTTGCTGCTGACTTGGGCTGGCATTGGCCCGCGCCCGGGGCCAGCGAATGCTGCCGCTCCCGGTCGGGGCAAAGCGCCCCCCCTCCCGGTGTGCACCGCCTCTTTGAGGCCGATCCCGATGCGGCCTTCCTCCGGGCACTGGTTCGTGTCCCTTCACCCTGGTATATGGTTGTCTTTCCAGTCTATTGACGGCTCTCGCTTGACTTGCTTCTCGCCCTCCCTTCCGCCTCTGTCTCGCCCTCCCCCAACCACAGTTGTTTGCCAGCCTGGTCGTCTCGCTGCCGGGCGTGCGGGCGCGCACGGTGCTTGCCTTGCCGGGGCTTGAGGATGATGCACCTCTGCCTCAGGCAGGCTTTAGTTTCCCCTCGTCTGTTTGGACCCCCTCAGGCGCCCTGCACGCTGAGCCGCCATCGAAGTGCGACCCTCTCTCCCTATTTCTCTCTCGCCCTCGCCCTCGCCCTCGCCCTCGCCCTCGCCCTCGCCCTCGCCCTCGCCCTCGCCCTCGCCCTCGCCCTCGATGCTTGCCCAGCTCATCGCTTACTCGCATATCCCCTTTTCGGCTTGCTCAAGTCAACCCGATCCGCAGGCGAGTGCCGGCCTAGCTGCAGCTCTGGCGCGTGGTGTACCCACCGTTTGGGTGGAAATGTGGTGCCCTGACACCCACGTGTGGATTTGTGCGTCCGCATTACCCATGGCCCCCTTGGCTATTTTCCCCTGCTGACCTGACCTCACCTGTCACCCCTCTCTCGGACCCAGTGGCCGATGTCGATCGCGGGGTGGCTGGCTTGACGGAGCGCAGTATGCTCATTCCCCCAGACCCATCCTCCCCGGCGCGCTCGCCGACCAAGCGCCCGAGAGGTTCCAAGTCGCCGAGCCTCAAGCCGGTCGACGCCCCGACCCGGCCGGTGGTGTGGCTTGCCTTCGAGGCGACCTCCTCCGGGGCTGTTCGCTTGCTGGACCTGACCCATCTTTGCCGGCAAACGGCCGAGCAGTTGTACCACACCTTCGAGACTGACGGCACTCCGATGCCGGGTGAGGGGGACGCACGCCGGGCATGGTTCGGTGCCCCTGTCCGGCCACATGATCCGGCCGACATCCTGCGCCTTCCCCTGCCCCCATGGTATGTGGTGGCCGAGCGGGCCCTGGCCGAGGGGGAGCCAGTGTCGGCCGACCGGCCGTATCCCCCCTTCGTGGTGACGCCCGCCCGGGCGGCGGCCATTTGCCATCGTCTTCCGGGATTCTACACGGCCTTTTCGCAGCGCGTGAGCCCGACTCTCCCGGCTTGGGTGGAGATCGACCATGCGCGAGCCTTCTCCTCGAACCAGCCGACGGCTGCGCCCTGCCGCGGGCCATGCGGCACCCTGGCCGCCATCGGGCCGGTCCCCATCGAGCAAGACGAGTCGGACCTTCGTCGTCACACCTTCTCTGGGCTGGCATTGACGGCCGGGCACCTGGTGGCCGGGGTCCCGGCCGCGCGTGGGCTTTTGGCCGCCATGACGGTCGTCGATCGGCGTTTGGTGCTTGATGATTTGGCCCGGGCCCTGGAGGCCGAGGCCGCTCGCAGGCACCCCCTCTCGGCCTTGGACTCCCTGCTGGCGGATCTTGCCCGCGGGGGTCTGTCCTGCGGAGGGCCGCTCATCAGCCGGCTGGATGTGCACGTGCGTGCGCGCAGCGTCCTGCCATGCCCTTTTGTGTGCCTTTTCCTTTCCTCGTTCCCCATTCTGACGCAGAGATGGTGGTGCTCCCGCATCAGGGCCCCGATGCATTGGACTTGGCCCTGCCTCCGGGCTTCGTGCTGCGGCTCCTCCGCCGGACGTCGCTGCACCCGCCGCCGACCACCGTGTCCAAGCTCCGGAATCACCCCCAGTACGTGCCTCATCCCCCGGGCCCCTCCTTTGCCTTTGTCCTGACATGTGTCCCCTCATCCTGCGCTGTGCCGCAGCTATTCAGTTCGCTATCAGATGCGCAAATACGAGGAGCTGTGCCCCGGGGCTCGGCCCGTCGGCCGGGTGGAGCTTCGACTTTCCGGGCAAGCCGTGGAGCTGGCCCTTTCCGGTCGGGCTGGCCCCTCGGACGCCGCGACCACCGATGCCCTGACCGCTGCCTTCCCCGATGGAGCCCACTCGCCAGGCAGTCCATCTTCCTCTCGGTCAGCCAAGTCTCGCCTGTTTGACTCGGTTTCCCTGCCCAAGGCGGCGGCGTCCAGCTCGAAGGGCTCGGCGCCGGTGAGACGCCCGTCCGCCAAATCCCCCCCCTCGCAGCCCTCGCGCCCTCGACGCAAGCGAGCCGCCACTCGGTCCCTCCGTGAGCTGGATTCCGAGGAGTCCGAAGAGGACGACGGGCAGTCTCGATCGCCGGAGCGCCCGCCCTCGCGCACCATCAGCGCCTCCCCGGCCTCCGGGTCGCAGCTCGGCCTGCCTTTCTTCCAAACGTCGCCCAGCTCGTCACCTGCCTCGATCACCCAGGCCGGCAAGACGACCACCGTTTTGCTGGATGTCTACCGGCGGAGTGATGTGGTTTTGGTCCGTCATCTTCCCCCCAAGCGTCCCGTTACTTCGAATATGTTCCCGCCCCTTTGGTTGGCTCTCGCCCCCCACTCTCGATCTTGCCTTCCCTCTCCCCCTTCGCCTCTCTTTCTCCTGTCTCCTCCATGGGTCCCCCACTCACGCCCCGAACCGACGTAGCTCAATACCCGCGCCGGCTGGCACAAGCAGGGGCGCCAGGTGCGCCCTGGCGAGCGGTCATACAAACTTGTCCGGGCGGTGGGTGCCGGCAGCCCGGACCGGCCGGCAGCCGAGACGCCTCCACGTCGGCGCCCCCGTCTTGGGGATCCTGCCTCGCCGTCGGATGTTGGACCGCTCGGCTTGCACAATCCGGACCCCTTGATCCCGGGGATGGTTGCCCTTTTTGGGGAATGGCAGACCGAGCCCTTCAGCCTGCCGCGTGTGGCCACCACCGAAGAGGGCAAGGTTCGTGCATGAAAGCAGCCTGCGCGCCCTGCCTGTCCATGTCCACTAACATTGGGTCTTCCCTTGTACCTCCCTTCTCTCTCGCTCTCGCTCGCTCTCCCTCGCTCTCTCTCTCTCTCTCTCTCTCCCTCTCTCTCTCTCTCTCTCTC